TGAGAGAAAGAGACAAGAAAGAGAGAGGGAGAGAGAAAGAGATAAATGTGTGGGTATGAGAGAAAGAGACGAGAGAGAAAGAGAGAGAGAGAAAGAAAGAGGGAGAGAGAAAGGGAGAAATGTGTGGGTGTGAGAAAGAGTCAAGAGAGAGAGAGAGTGAGAGAGGGGGGAGAGAAAGAGAAAGAGAGAAGTCTGTGAGCATGAGAGAAAGAGACAAAAGAGAGAGAGAGAGAGAGAGAGAGAAACACAGAGAGGGTCTCTCTCTCTCTCTCTCTCTCTCTCTCTCACTCTCACACACAGAGAGATGGAAAGAGTGTCTGTATGAGAGAGAAAGAGAGAGAGGGAAAGAGAAATGTGTGGGTGTGTATGTGTGTGAGAGAGACAGAAAGAGCATGTGTATGAAAGAGAAAGAGACAGGGGAGAAAGAGAGGGAAGGAGGGAAGGAGGGAGAGAGGCACAGAATTCAATACATTGCAATTCTCTGAAAGGAGATCTATGGGGGAACCAACGTGCCCTCAGTGTCAGGGATGATACAAATCAAAGACAAAAGGGTCACGACAAAAAAAAGCATTTGACAAAATTAAAGCAAGCAAACGAAAATCCACAGAGAAGGGACCGGAAAGGTTAGCACGGGCAGCGACGAACAGCAAAGCACGGGAATGTCTCGTATTTTAAACGCTGTTACAACATGTGAGCTCCACCAAGCATTAGCCACCGTCTTGCCAAGCAGAAATCAAAGTGTGACATGCACCGTAAAAAATGAGCTATGCAGCAAAAACACGGTAGCTCTCCAAGCATCGCCAAGAGAATGTAGAAAAAGAAAACCCGATGCATTTTATAGTCTCGACATGGTGGATATACGTTCCGGTTGCGATGCGCGAGAAAAAAAGGCATCGATTAGCCATATCCTTGGTGACGGCCTCTTGACAGAGGATGCTTCTGTCAGTGAAGGATATACGGGTAGTCCTCGACTTATGACTTAACAACGAAGCCCCAAATCTCTGCTGCTGAGCGAGACTGGGAGTTTGGGGAGTTTTTGCTCCACATTATATCCTTTCCTGCCACCGTTACTAAGTTAGTGACATGATTGTTAGGTTTATCCGCTTTCTCCGTTGAGTTGGCTCATCAGAAGGTCACGAAAGGGGATCAGGGATGGGCTTGCTACGGGTTCGCCCAGGTTCTGGAGAACCTGTAGTTAACATTATGGCTGGTTAAAATCCCAAGCCTGGCTGGCCCCGCCCATCACACCCTGCCCTTCCAACCCTGCCCCTCCCCTCCCAGGAGTCTCCATGCGGCCTGTTTTGGATGCGAGGTAAGTGCAGGGCCTATGCGGAAGGGAGGGGAGGGGAAACGGGCCTCCCAGAACTTCTGGAAAGTTGGAAACGGGGCCATTTCCAGCCTTCGGAGGACCTTTGGAGCCTGGGGAAGGCAGTTTTTGCCTTCCCGGAGGCTCAAGGAAAGTCTCCGGAGCATGGGGAAGGCAAAAGCGCTTCCTCTCGTGGTGCAGGAGGCCGACTAGGCTACGCCCACCCAGCAACCGAGCAGAGAACCCATTGCTGAAATTTGTGAAGCCCACCCCTCCACGTGTCCCTGGGACACTGCAACTATCATCAGTAGGAGCCCATTGCCCAGCATCTGAAGTTTGATCATGTGACTGTGGGAATGCTGCACCGGGTGTCCGTGTGAAAAAAACGGCCATACGGAAACGTGAAAAGGGAAGACACGGGAATTCTAACTTCGAACGGCCAGCCAACGGCCCACCGTAAGTCGAGGACTACGTGCATCAGGAAGAACAACTTTGGTGAGCGGATCGGACGACATCTCGAAGATACGTATATGCACCATGGTTCTCTCTCTCCCCACCAACCATAAAATGCACAAAGGGTGATGGGTGTAGAAGAAGAATACGAAAGAAACCAAAAACCAACCTTGGAGAAATATCACATCCTTGCTGCATAAAGGCACCCAGGGAAAACCAAAGGCTGTTAAATATTCCAAATTCATTGGGAGGATCAGGTGGATTCTGAGGGTCGCGAGGCTCTTCCTGGTTATCTTCCAAATGCCACTCGTAAGGACTGAATCGGCTGACTAGAAAGAGAACTACGCTGACGCCAATGTACGCAAAGACTATACACATCCAAATTTCATAGGCCAAAGGATCCAGAAAGGAGAAGACCCCCGGTTTAGATTTCTGGGGCTTCTTGATCATGATAGAAATGCCCAAGCTCATAAAAGGTTTGGAAAAATCTATGACTTCTTCTCGGACCAAGGTTATAGTCAATGGGGCCACAGCTATATCTGCTCTCTGGAAAGACAGGACACAGACATAAAAAAAGAAAAGAAGAAGAGAATATTACAGCAAGGCATCTTTGTTTTAACACAACAACAGTCCTCACCACTCTGACATGGGATGCTTCAGCTCTTAGCACCTTCTACCTCACAACGGGAAGCTGCTCTGGCTTGGTTGGCCATCTGCGGTTCCTTATGCTTCCTGCTTTTGGAAGAGACCCAAGTACTCAACATGTCTCTGACAGATTTGCCGGTAGTATGTTCTACTCTAGTGATAGACTGGCCAGACCAAGGATCTAAGAAGTAGGAGATGAAGAGGTAGCCATGTTCTTGCAACTCATTGTATGCTTCCCAAACATGTCTGGGTTGGTCATTTTTTAAGGGACCAGGAATTCTGGAGGGCTGGAGTCCTTAGCACTGCAGAAAAATGAGGATGGGGGAGGGCTTTGCCTTAAAATCACCTAGGCCTAGAGATAAGGAGTTTTAGGATGTAGAAGTAGCAATGCAGGCTGCATAAGCTTGGAGAGATGTGTAACTGAGAAAGCCAGCTCCACAAATTCCCTTTGTCATGCATTAACAATAAATTGATTTTATTTATTTATGACATTTATATAGCCACCCATCTCGTGCTTGTGACTCTGGGTGGTGCACACAAATAAAAAAACACAGAGCCAAGCAACCAACATAATTTAAACACATCCATACATATCCAAAATGGCTCCCAGACAAAATCTAGGGAAATTCTAATCCTGGCTGTGAGCAAAGCAGAAACCTTTTTCTCTCAGGACCTGAGAATTAATAATATGGATTCAATTCATGTCCGCTGGCTATGGGGCTTGGCTGTAGCTTGTTTTACAGAGCTGTCAAATCTGTGACAGAGGAGATGAAAACATGGATTGAGTAGTGTTGAGGTCCAGCAGGTGCCGTTGGAGCTGCCACCAGACTCCGACAGCGAGGGGCCCTCTTAGTCGGCTCTGGAGGATGTGGAGGACCCTGGACAGGGTTCCGACTCTGAGCAGGGCGCAGAGAGGTTGGTTGGCCACCATGAGGTGCCTGAGCTTTGGACCAGTGGGGAGGAGACAAGG